TTGTTCCACCGGTTGTGACCGTTGACTGTACACAGTGAAGTCAAGAAACATACTTAGGGCATGATCGGTCGGGCGAATCCCGAGCAAGTGCGCTCCGAGTGAGCGTGATCGATTGGCCGAATAAGGACGAATCCGGGGTAGGTGTACTTGGAGTGGAATCCTACCACACCAGCCCCCACACCGGGATTGGCTGGAGTGGAAATGGACTTTGGCGTGTTTTTTAAGCCTTGACAGAATATTAATTTTTTTTGTACGATATGCATACATTTTGCGTACTACACCCTTGTTTCGTTCGGTTGGGCCAGCGTTGCTTGGATTGCATTGCCTGCTCGCACTCAATCCAGATTCGCCAATCCATGACACCCCTAGTATTCTAATGCTCATGATGAAAAAAATGCACTGCTATGAGCCACAGCTCACAAGACCATGGATGAGCTGATGCTGCAAGTCTACAAACTTTTCGGCGTGTTTCAAAGTCAGCCTCCCAGGGCAAAAAAACACATTTCAGCTGCATCAACATTTCAGCCTCTACTGCTTCTGCCTGTAAGTTGTACACTGTCACAGTGAACCTTGCGAAACAAAATTTCGGCCGCAACAAATTTTAGGCTCAAAAGCCCAGGCGAAAAAAATATCCGCCGAATATTTGTTGATTTACAGGACAGGGCCCAACATTCCACAGGCCGGTCTACGAATTTACATTATAGTTAGACAGCTACACGCTAGCAGTGCGCCATCACAGCACAATACGAATATGCATGGCAGTAGCCATGCAAGTTGGTGTTTTGGTCAGACATATGCTAAATACCCCGAAGACGATGAAAACACGCTAAGTCTGAAAAATGCCTGCAACAAACACACTGCAACATTTAGTATTGAGGAGTAACGATTCGCCTACTTCGAAGTATAAATCTACAACCTCTTGTTTCCATGTTTGAACTAACTGTGGGCATGTCACAAGCCCAAATACCGACACCCCTTCCACAAACACCCCTTCCAAGAGGATGTCGCTTAGTCACCTTGCCTGTATTCTCTCTTGGACGTCAGGCGCGTACGCAGGGGGGGGGGGGGGGTCCCGTTGCCCGGAAACCCCCAAATGTTCCAAACGAGCAACGTTCTTGGGCATAATTTGGTAGGGCGCACGATCGATCTGGCAAGAATGCAAAACTTCAACAGATCGTAACTCAGTCAAATCTCGCTCAAATCCAACGATCCAAATATCCAGGTCGAAAAGAAAACTCTCAGCGGTCGGTTGAAACAATTTGCAACGCGCTGTGAGCAATGTCTCCTGATATAAATCGTTCGTGAGTTGAGCCGCGATCTCGCAATTTCAAAAGCACACAGTGCGACTCGAGTATCGAGAATTTGAGACTTTTCGTCAGGCGTACGCGGACTTGCTCAAATTTGCAGGGGCTTCACTTGTGATATTTTCAAGAGCACACAGCAAAAAATCGAAATCGCTGGACCAGGACGCGTTTGGGCCTTTGGCCCAGTTTGGGGCATTTTTTTCGCAACGTCGCTGCACTCTACCGCTATAGCCTATAACGCTGGATATGTACATGACTGTACTGTGTCCTGGCTATCATGGTCGACCTCATTCTCTCCCTGGTACCTTTCCACTTCCAGGAAGCCTAAGATAATGAAAAAGATTGAGTCAGTAGAACTGAAGTTATGATCCAAAGAACACGAAAAAATGCATAATTTTGAAAATTTCCTTGGGCTCTTTAGAAATACAAATACAAAATACAAAGGGTTAAAAACGAGTCATTGTTTGCGATTCGGTTGGAAACCCCCCTAGAGGTGACCCTGCGTACGTGCCTGGACGTGCTCCTGCTTACCTGAAGAAACTGAGTAGCTTGCTGGCAGGTGTCCTTGTTGCACACCATGGGAACACTGAACAACTCTTCCCAGTCTGAACATTAAAACATACAACACAATCAACACAACAACATACATACAACAACAAGAACAAGAAGAAGACGATGAAAAATGTTACGCCAAAGTTACTCAATCTGCGGACAGAGCCACAGAAGTGTGGCTTAGGTAAACACATGATTATAAGAAAATACACATGCACGATATTATAGGCAAACACCGTTCGGAGAATGCCATTACACCAAACAACAGTAGGCTCTTCTCAAACATCTCACACAATACATCAACTTTGGAAAGTAGATAAAAAGAAAGGACAAAATGTTACGAGTTATGACTAACTGTCCACCAACGTAACCAGATCATATACAGTCAGCGAGTGCGAGTTCTTTTTGTCCATGATTATTTCGGCTCAACATCCGAGTTTAACTTTTGAAAATAGGATAATTTAAACACACGGCGAGGAGACAATAATTTGATAACCGCAATCAATAAAACTACTTGGTCCGCGTCAGCGATATTGTCGCCTATCTTTCGACAATTTGAACTTAGACTTTGGACATCAACGAGTGCACTTGAGACAATAAAACTTGGTATGATGGAAGGCAAGGTACAGAATGACAACAGGCCATGAGGAATTTATTGTCCAAGGAAGGGTTCATACTTTTTTTGGTCCTCCTCGTCGCTGCTCTCGGCGCTGGTGACAAAGTAAATAATTTTTGCTCAGGATCGATACTCTCACTTTCGCAAGCTCATCTCTCTTCCTCTCCGCTGCCTGGCTAGTTTCTAAAGGAAAGTCGACCGTGACGATCGCCTTCTCTATAGGACTTCGCGTGGACTGCCTGCGTGGTTTAAATCAGTCGCCGTTCTTTGCAAGATTTATTTTGAACGACGATGACTCGTACAGTACTTGCAAATCTCCACGATTCGCTGGATACTCTGAGCGTTGAGCTGGAGGTGAGGGAACTGCGATCTCAGCTTGGCGAGTGATCCCTGATGTGAGTGATCTCGGCCGTTTTGTAAAATCCCGGGAACTGATTCCGAGTAGCCGATTATTTTCTGGTACGTCGCGCTGCTGTTGCCTGCGCAGTGTGACAAGATAATCTATTTTGATGCGGTGGTGTATCAATCAGAATCACCAACCTGTCGCTCTCGAAATCTAGCTAGACCTTTCAGGTACTTGTAAACTAACCAACTAACCAGAATTGGGATAAAATGGGCTGCCAAGTGAGCATTGGCGACATAATAACAAAGCTGAAAGATAAGCGACAATATTGCTGACGCGGACCAAGTAGCTGAACCGACATCTGTGTACTTTATTCATGCAAAGTAAAAACGGTGGAGACGATGTGCAATAAAACAATGAAAATATGAAGAAATGGTGTAGAGAAAAAATATGGATTCAAACAAGTTTTCGTACAACACTCATCAGGAATCGTCGTTGTACTAAAGGACACTGAAACAAAAATTGAACTATTATAGAACATCTAAGTTAGAGAAATAACACTAAGAGCAACAGCAGTGAAATTTACAAGTGTGAATTTTAACAATCAAAGCGAGAAATGAACAAAGGAGAAAGGAAGGAAAGACAACGTGATAACACATAACAGCAGTACATTACACCTAGAACATTAACGGCCAAGCTTGGCCGCACTAAAAACGACACGTTACTTGAACAATTTCAACCCAATTATACTATCTTTCTGTACACACAAATTAGGCTTATACAGACGCTGATAGATAGCTTCCAACACTTTTAACTGTAGTCCATAACCATGACGACCACGGCACAATACAGTGAAAGGAGAGTCGGAATACGAATTGCAACAATCAGGACTAGCTAGCAGATGATTGTACACTGAAGACTTGCTACCACGAAACCTACGCACAACACTAACATTCTCACCGGTACTCTCACCATCACTGCTCTCCGACTCACTGCTCCCTCCCATTGTTCAAGTAACGTGTCGTTTTTAGTGCGGCCAAGCTTGGCCGTTAATGTTCTAGGTGTACTGTACTGCTGTTATGTGTTATCACGTTGTCTTTCCTTCCTTTCTCCTTTGTTCATTTCTCGCTTTGATTGTTAAAATTCACACTTGTAAATTTCACTGCTGTTGCTCTTAGTGTTATTTCTCTAACTTAGATTTTCTATGAAGTAGCGGTGAGGCATCCTGCAGCTTCATAACTCGAAGACAATTGGTGAGCACACATGCTCATTCCCTGGGCACTGCAAATTCACAACTCATTTCATTTCACATAATCATTTTCAACGTTTCGGCAAATTGCCATCATCAGGATACAATATGAAGTGGAAGTCTGCCAAGGAGCAGTTATATACACTAATTTGTGTTCTTAGGTGTTGATAATATTTCTATGACTACATAATTGTGTTACCTCAGTGCTAGAAATATGACATGTCTAAAACTAGTGAAAGATCACAAGTTTTCACTGACTCATATGCTGGGTGTTGGTAATAAGTTAGCACAGCGCAGATGTCACCAGATAACTTGAGAAATGTCTGAACAGGTTTCTCGCAAGCAATTCACGAATGTGACCATGTCAGTGGTTTCCAGTAAATACTGTCACCTAGATAGACAGTGTGGTGTGATTGTTTTAGAGTAATGACCATCCAGCACTGGTGTTGATCTCTGGGCCTTCGTTTCTGATCTCCACTGCCTCTCGCAATTTGCGGCTTGCCCTGTCACTGGCTCTTGCAACCACAGACACTGCCGAGAAGATGCTGCCCCCGACACCTAGATTGATCCCTGCATGCTTAGCTCGCATGTGGTCACCCCATGGCTTATCCACAGTGCGCCTACGAGCTTCACCGTTGTGTTCCTCCAGTCTTGTCTCCAGTGTGCGACCCGTCTCTCCGATGTATTTTTCCCTGCACAACTTGCATTGCAGCCGGTATATCACATTCTTCTTCAAACATATTTTCACTCAGCATATGAGTCAGTGAAAACTTGTGATCTTTCACTAGTTTTAGACATGTCATATTTCTAGCACTGAGGTCACATATGTAGTCATAAAAAAATATTATCAACACCTAAGAACACAAATTAGTGTATATAACTGCTCCTTGGCAGACTTCCACTTCATATTGTATCCTGATGATGGCAATTTGCCGAAGCGTTGAAAATGATTATGTGAAATGAAATGAGTTGTGAATTTGCAGTGCCCAGGGAATGAGCATGTGTGCTCACCAATTCTCTTTTAGATTTTCTATAATAGTTCAATTTTTGTTTCAGTGTCCTTTAGTACAACGATGATTCCTGATGAGTGTTGTACGAAAACTTGTTTGAATCCATATTTTTTCTCTACACCATTTCTTCATATTTTTTTATTGCACATCGTCTCCACAGTTTTTACATTGCATGAATAAAGTACACAAATGTCGGTTCAGCTAGTTTTATTGATTGCGGTTATCAAATAGGATAATTGTTTTTCAAAGGAACAGCAAGCATCCTGAGCACACAGGCGCGTCGGAACGACTTTGGAGGTGGGGCGGCCATGGAAGGGGGGGGGGTCCGGGGGTCGTCCCCCGTGAAAAAAATTCAAAAAATTAAAGCCAATTGCAAGCATTTCCGGGCATTTAGTGCCATTTCAGTGTACGGTAACTACAATGAAAGACTTTTTGATTCTGCAAAAAACCAAGAAGATGCTACGATCGGGGGCAAACATTACCCTCCCCGGGAAAAAATTCAAAAATTGAAGCCAATTGCAAGCATTCCGAGGCATTTGGTGCCATTTCACTGTACATGGACTTTTGATTCTGCAACAAACCACGATCGGGGACAAGGATTTGCCACGTTTGCGCTGAGATCATCGCGCTTTGTTGCAGTGTGCTAAAATGAAAAATAAAAAAATAAAAAATAAAAACGGCCGAAAAAGTGGGGCGGCCATGGCCGCCCCGGCCGGTGCGGTTCCGACGCCCTTGGCACACTTGCACACCAGGGAGTTGCAACGCACTGGGAGACCACACAGGCAACAGTGCCACTAGATCATACGGGTTTCGACCCCGGGCTGGCCGCTACAGTTGCCCTAGGGGCCAGGCTGTTTGATATATTCTCGCATATGCAATCGCTTGCCTGGGCCGTGCTGTGGGTCAGCAGATCAAAGCCGTGACCACGACCGAGAGTTGCATAGTTCAGGGATCAGGTAGGGCTTCCAAATCTGGGGTCAAAATGGTCATCCCTTCGAGTACTAGGATCTCGTGTCGTCTCTCTGAACGCTACAACTACCCAGGGGCGTCGGAAGGTATTTTAGTGTGCTACGGTCAGCCATTACAATTTACTCGTGGGGGAGCGGTGGCTGAGACAAAAAATTTGGAAATTTAGATCCCAGATCAGAGTATTTTATTCATTCACGTGGTACCTGGGGCAAAAGGTGGTACGGTCAATACCGTACTGACCGTACTGTATGCGACGCCCCTGACGCACACGAGAGAACTGACCTGTTCCAAATCGGCAAATGTTGAAGCGCCACTCCTGCGATGATGATGATGACAAAGAGGATGATGTCGCCGATGACATCATGCAGTGAAGTGCCAGCATCACGAGTTTCTTGGCGGCTGTCAGCGACGCACCCTGCAGCACAGTACCAGATGGTTGTGCCACACAAAGGTCCAGTGGAGAAAAATACACCGATCTGATTACTGTAAAAGCCCTACCGCATTTGACCGGTTATAAGTCGACCTTTTAATGACCTAAAAGTTAAAACCTGACCTAAAATGGGGAAGTCGACTTAAAACTGGGATATAACTGCCCTTGAACCGGTAAATCGAGGCCCCAAGTCTGGAGGTCGACTTATTACCGGCAAAATACGGTATTATATAACAAAGTACTAAATCTAACAAGTTTAGGGTTCACGGATTGGCATGCTAGCGTCGCCAGCTACATCATGCACGTGACAGGCGCGTGCATATACTGTCCCACACAATCGGTCAGTGCTCAAATCGCATTTTCCCATCAATATCACTCACTTTCAACTCTACGGGATTCATTACGGTTGGCTCAAACTGCCTGAATTTTTGAATCCACACGCACGAAAGACGTTCCAAGACTTCCACCGTTCGTATTTTTTCAAACGAGTTCCGGGCTTTCCAGTAACTTTGGCCAAAGTTCGGCTAAAAAAACAGGGGGAGCCGTTGCGTTTCCGTAAAATGCTGAACGGTAGAAGGATAGCCAAGGTCGAGAGCAAAACAACAAGCCATTATTTGTCAAAATCGAACAAGAAACGGCTCAGCGCATCTATTTTCCGTGCACGCGCGCGCGCGCGTACTTTGGCCGACAAGGTGTGGAGAATTTCTGAAGAAGAAGAATAACAAGAGCAGCAGCGCTCGGAACAGCCGTGCTGGATACTTCCAATCCCGACGATGGAGCGTGTTGGCTGTCGTGAGCTGCTGAAACGACCATGACATTTCTTTTTCTTTGTATACCCTACATATCTTGACGCGCCCTAGCTCAGTTTCGGCCTCTTTACAGGAAGAATATTTTCTTCCATGGAATCAGCGGCCAAACAGCAAGAAGAGCAACAGATCGAGATTTGCAGGGCAAACAAAGGATGCGTGCATCTACATCTAGTCAGGTTCGATGCAGCTGCGCTTTGCCAGAACCTCAGCAGATAAGAAAAGACGACAGAGTGTCTCAGATGGAACTGGATCTTTCGCCAAGACCGCCACCGCCGCCATCATCAAGTCCAGGTCAGTCAGAAAAATGCAAAGCCCGAGTGAAGTGAAGCCACTGAAGCCAAGGAAAAATTCAAAAAGTACGCTCTCCGGCTAGACTTCGAGTCGATATTTTTTTACTTCGATAGGCGCTGTAGCGCGCGTCCATAATCCAAAATGGAGGCGCACGTGACGGGTGCTTTTAGTGGCAAGCCGTGAACCCTAAAGTTGACGAGGAGAAATCTGTCGTTAAGGCCAAGTAAAAAAATTTGATTGTTTATCGTCCGCGCCCGCCCCAAATTTTCACCCTCCCCGCCGAATTATTTAATTTTTTAATACTGGTAAATGTACTGTATGTACTGCGGTCTACAGCCTCTAATCAGCATGGCCGTAGATTTTCGAAGGTCAAGTCCACAGACTGAACCATAACTTAGTTGCTATGGGCTTGAAAAGTGAAACTGATCATAAGCTGCCTGATTTTCTTCGTTTTTCTACGTAACATTGGTTGTTCCACTTTCCATTATCCTCTGGGGTTGCGAACACCTGCCCTACAGCCATAAATGCATAATAAAAAATAAAATTAAAAACCTCCCGTCCACCCCGATTTCTCGGGAAAATCTGACGATAAACAATCAATATATTTTACATGGCCTAACGTAGAAAAAATTATACAGAAATCGATACTTATACTGTTGCTGGTGAGCGCTTAGAATGAGTGAGAATGAGTGAGAATGAGCGAGAATGAGCGAGAATGAGCGAGAATGAGCGAGAAGGAGCGAGAAGGAGCGAGAAGGAGCGAGAAGGAGCGAGAAGGAGCGAGAAGGAGCGAGAAGGAGCGAGAAGGAGTGAGAATGAGTGAGAATGAGTGAGAATGAGTGAGAATGAGTGAGAATGAGTGAGAAGGAATGAGAATCATTATCATCGGTACATGTAAACCGGTCAAGTTTTGCAAATCATATTTGCGGCTCGTTAGAATATTGGCTCTTACAACATCGTGCCTAACACACCTCTTCTCTACTATGTCGCAGCGGCGAGGCCTCCGGCAGCTTCATTCATAGGAAGTAGTTTAAAGAAGACCCACTCTTTCCAATCCACTCTGCACTGGTATCGCCTCTTCTCAAGCAAGGAGAAACACGAACTCCGCTCTCTGTTTCAAAGAAGTTGTCACAAATATCTGATGGTGTCCCTGTACTAAACATTGTTGACTTCACAAGCCCCTTCCCTCCCCAGCCAGCAGCTCCCCATCCTCACCCTCCCTCTGAAATGAACAATACTGGGCATGCTGGAGGAGGGAAATAGCAAGCCTGAAGACCGCAAGATCGATAATGTATCACATCTTTAACTTACGGATTTCGAACGGTCGTTAAGTTCGCAACTCCTCATAACAACATGTCTTACAGTAGCCTGGGACCACTCTTCAAACGGACCCCAGTCCACGTCCCTGCATATCGAGCTCATTGAAACAAGAGGTTTCTAATACGTCCTGGTCCCACAGTTAGAACTGAATACGGGCTACCTTTGCATTTTAACCTTACACCCAGTCCCCACACAAATACCGGCATACTCGCCATTATCATGTTGTCTGATGATTGCAGGGTTGTGCATGACACACTGTGTTACAAACCATATAGCCTTTCTGCACATCATGTAAGTGACACTATCACAGTGTGCAGTCCGTCCTTCTCACCTTCATACTATTGGAACAGTCCAGTAAGAAGTAGACTTGACGTTCGCTATCACTCGGCGGGGACTCAAACTCTGGATAGAACGTCAGCATGCATGCCTGTACAGCCAACATGCATGGACACAACATGGACACACAGATTAATGCATAAATGGACGGACACACAGACAAATACATGAATGGATGGACACACATACAATGCATGAATGGACACAAAACACAAATGTAGGAACGGACGGACACACAGACGAATACATGAACACACAGACAAGTACATGAATGGACGGACACACAGACAAATAAATGCATGAATGGACACACAGACAAATGTATGAATCAACGGACACACAGACAAATGCATAGACTGACACACAGACAAATGCATAAATGGACGGACACACAAACAAACACATGAATGGACACAGACAAATGTATGAATGGACACACGGACAGATTCAGAAGCATGCATACAGACTGACAGACAAACGGACGATAACGAGCACGCACAAACTCACAATCCCCAGATGAGCAAGCGCGGAGTAGAGGATGGCCTAATGAATGCGCACGGAGTTAAGCATTCGAATGCCTGTATACCAGTCATGTCACTAGTTACACATCAAGTACCGGATGTCGCGGTGGACATCCTAACATACTTCCTCCGTTAACAAAAACTTCGTGATGGATTTTGATGGATATGAAAACGCTTAGAACAGGTCAAGAACAGTTTGTATCGACTGCAAATCACTGGACCAATGCAGTTCTTTTTACAATAGAAACTGTTGCTGGAGTGAGCAGAGAGTTCAGTTTGCTTCGCTTTCGCTCGCCTCATTCTTGACCCTGCGTCGGTGTCGTCACCTGCTGCACGCGAGCCGTCATCTCTCTGGAGTCGTTGTTCAGCTCGTTTCAGCCTTCCCCCGGCTTATTTGATCACACTCCGCTGAACTTGACGTCGCCGTTGTTCAAGTAAGCTGGCTTTCAAGCTGCGTCATCCGCCGCGGTGGTGATTACTCGTTTCCACCAGGGAGTCGAAAAAATATTTCACGACTCCCTGGTTCCATCTTCGCTCTCCAGAACTCCGTGAAACGAGGAGCAAAGGCATAGCCAAACTGATTCCATTTTCTCTGATGGATACCCCTGCCAGCACTGAACGGCAGCGGCTAGCAAGTCCAGTCGACTTTCTTTAGCCACGAGATTCGCGTCGGCCTGCAGACTTCTGAAAGAATGCATGGTCATCAGCATTCGAGTCTGGACATTGCGCAGGCTGAACGAGAACTTGAGTTCAGGATTATTTCGTTGCGCCGTGCGATCGGAACAGCTCCTTGTTCACTCGCTCATTGTGTGAGCTCGCTCCTCTGTTACATCGCTCTCTATCACTCTCAAACTCAGTGCTAGAGTAGTAGAGAGGCCAAGCAGCGCATTATCCCCTCGGAGAATTTGTATTTCAGTTTCTCTCGCCATTACTGTCATCACCTATGTTTCTACAGTGCAACCATCGACGCCGTTCGGCTTGTTGTGAAAGGTCGCTTTCCTTGCATCGTACCTCTTTCATGGCATGCCAGGAAAGGCCGAGAAAGTGATTGCGACTAATTTCACGGCAGTTTGTGCGCAAACCAGTCCCACAAAAATCCATCACGAAGTTTTTCTTAACGGAGGAAGTACTAGTATCGAGATAAGGCTGTAGAAGTCCCTACTCACAGTGAGATCATGCTGTTGGATTCACAGTCGTAGTGACTCATTGTCATACAAGTATTCTCTGCAAGGTATACCAATTTTTGCAAGTAGCTTCTGCTGTTCCTGTTTGTATTATTTTTATTTTTTCACCTTGTCATGTCCCTTCTTCCCTCTCTCATAACAGCCACCTTCACTTCCTTTCCCCAGGAGACTCCCTTTGATAGGCATCCATTTGCCTCTGGAGAATCCCTGAAAATATTATATCAAATCCAATATCCACTAACCTGTGAGCTGGATGATGTGTCTTCTTCCACCCACATGCGTGGCACGTGAATCTCGGCAAGAGACACGAACAGATGGAAGCCATCGCCGAGCTGGCTGCCGTCTTTCAGCTGGCACACGGCCTTCGTTGCCGTGCTCTGTACACATGCACACACGCGAAACGCACACACACACACACACACACACACACACACATTGGTCACATCACCCGGGCAAAGTCCCCGGAGAAAATAATCAATAAAACACCACAACTTCCACCACCGCTACCACCACTGTGTAAGACCCTGCAACAGCATTACTAATATCCAGGTGCGTGCCCCCGGGGATGTTTCGGGTCCCAGACCGTAACCACAGCAGCAGAAGTAGCAGCAGCAGCGGCAGCGGCATTGATGTGACGCAGGATTATTGATAACCTGGCACAAGTCCGTGCAACCGATATTCAGCCCACCAAAGGACAGGGGAAAACAGCTGCTATCGCAAATGTAGCTGGAGGTGAACTCATCCAATACTCCCCGGGCCACCGGAGTCAGGAAAGCCGGACAGGAGATATTGCACCGCGTCAGCCCAATCATGACAATCATATTGATTAGTTTCAAACTACAGTTTCAAACCTGTCTAACACACCTTAGACTCTGTTACAGGTGGTCTCCTTATCCACGGTCATTTGACTGGAAATAGCATCCCTTGGTCCCGGCTTCGGCGGTCTTCTAGGACAGGTGATAGCCTTACCCAAGTAGTCATCTTCACAAGCTTTTGCTGTTGTAATTCGGCCACACAATTATGGTAAACCTGGTACCAAACTTCAATATTTTCCGAGAACTGTGGCAATACGCCCAGCGAGAAGGCAGATTTTGCCTGTGCTTCTGGTGAAGTAAAATAAAGCTAAACAACAACAACAACAACAACAACAACAACAACAACAACAACAACAACAACAACAACAACAACAACAACAACAACAACAACAAACAAGCCGTACCTTGATCTTGAGATCGGAGGGGTGAGAGCTGGACTTGATGGACGTGATGTCAAACGGCATGTCCACTGCTATCTGCAGAGAGAACTCACCGCTGGTAGCGAGCAGGGCAGACAACGACACGCAACACAACAAAACAGGAGAATGATGGGTGATAAGTTTTTTTTCTTTTTGGAGAGTCACTTATACAGTTGTGAACATTGACATCCAAGAATATGTGTGTGTGTGCAGGTGCAGGCCGCCTAGTATCCTGGGTTCGCATCCAGTGCTAGGTCTACATATTCTAAGCCAGGCGCGTTCCACGTATGGGTTCCTGGGTGCCCGGAACCCCCCCCCCCTTTTTCGCTGAAAATGCAGGATTTTGCTTCATTTTTTGAAATTTTTCATGGGGGAGGCCCCCGACCCCCCCCCCCCTTCAAGGGCACCGGCGCACGCGCCTGTAAGCAGAGTTCACTCTTCTACTTTATTAGATCGTGGTGGCGGTGGCAGCGACGGTGGTGACAGCTTTGGGGCAGTGTTTGAGGGAAGGTGTAAAACTGGCTACCGTAGAGCCTCCACTCCACACTAGTACATAGAAGACAATAAACCTGGTATTGTGAGCATCACTGGCTCACACTCAAATACCGTATTCCACAGATACATTTCAGGAAAAAAATGTCAACGGCCTGCTGTTGTAAAAAAATGATTGATAAAGACACTTCACCACCACCCACACGAATATCCACAGTGCACGTATAGGGAGTGATGCTACAGTGCTGGTAACTGAAATCCGACCCCCTGGGCGGTGCGCTCACATCGCAAACACCCAACACGGGGTTGTAAAACTACGAAATAGAGACTGCTAGAATGTGAACCCACCGCATCGCTCATGGGGTCGGGTTTCAGTTGCCAGTACTGTAGAATCGGAACTCGGAAGTGCATTCTCACTGGAGAGATAGCGGCAAACCTTTTTGTACTGCTTCTGATATTTTGTCGTGTTTGGCTATCACCCTTGATTTCACATTTGGCAGTCGTTTGACGGGCCAGGAATGTTGAAAGGATAAAAATACAAAAAACCCAGACTAGGATTCCCCGTATCACAAGAGAAGCACGTACCTTGGTGTGGCATCGGTAACGTGGCGCGTCTCCGTCACGTCCTGTGTTTCAGTTTGCATGGCAGCGGTGCTGGTCCACGGAGCCACACTGCCGGGCACGCTGAAGCGGATCTGTTCATTCTCTACGGCCAGCTCTGCCACGTACGTGATCTTGATCAGGACTCTAGCGGACGGTGGCAGGTTACCAACGCTGACAGTGAACACATCCTGAACAGGAGAAGACACACGTGTGTGCATATACACGTAAAATATGTATGCACACACAAAAAGCGTACACGTACATGTGTACACACAAACACACACAGATGCAGACACACACAGACACACACAGACCACAGATACACACACACACACACGCACAAGAAATGGTACTCGAAATCGACACAAGCCTAACACTATCAAATTTCAACAAAGCACTAAAGTTCTGGCTATGGTTCATGCATAGCAAAGAGGACTATGTAAAAGTTAGTTAGAACAGTACAAAGAGTATTACACAAACTAAAGCTGGTAGTTACCGGAGTCTCTTCATCCATCAGATATGCGCCATGTCCCTTGCTGACAGCCTCCTTGTACTCCCTGTGTGCTGTCTCCTTCTCCTTCACTTCACCAACAATGTGCTTGTCATTGATGAATGCCTCAAAGCCGCACACTGGGAACATGGCAATCAACACACATGAACGCACGTACGCACGCACACAGTGGGGTAACGGCGGTAAGTTCTCAAACTTGAATGTCCCTTGAGGGTTATTCTGTAGGATCCCCCTCCCCCCCCCCCCCCCTCCTCCCCCCCCCCCCATTCTTGTACTGCACATACACATACAGTGGGAGCATAAAATTTAGTCGATGAATAATGTTGTCCAACTTTGAAGAAGACCTATTCATCCTGTAAACATCTTCTACAGAACAACAAGGACAATCAAGGCTTGTTTGCTGCCACTTCAGTTTCATGCTCTCGCAATCATCAGGCAACATGAAGATTGGGTGCCGACCATGCCGGTATATGTGCCAGGAGAGGGTGGGTCTTGTAGCGCTGTATGAAAAGCTGTGTGAAAATGTGGGGCTGTATAGGTTTCCGGGGCTAGCGGCGTTATTTTAGGCAGGAGGCTGTGTGCAGAGTGTGTGGTTGTTGAAGGCAGGGGGCTAGCAGTGCAATGTTAGCGCAGAATGTGTGGCTGCTATGGGCAGGAGGCAGTGAGCAAGGTGTGTGGATGTTGTAGGCAGGAGGCTGTAGAGGTAATGACAGAGCTAGCAGTGTGATATTAGCGCAGTGTACATGTATATGGCTAGTGTGGGCAGGGTGTTATGAGCAACCGTGTGAATGGTGTAGGCAGGAGGCTGTGGAGACATATTTAGGTGACAGGGGCGTAGGAAGCAGTTTAATATTGGTGCGGCGAAATCGTGAGAAGGGGTCCGGGGTCCTCCCCGGGATGTTTTTTGAAAATTGGGCCTAAAAGGCCATATTTTAATGCTACAGAATAATAATATGAGAAATAAGAATATGCATGCTGATGATACACCGCATTGTCGATGTAAACACATGGTACCAGTACAACACAAGCCATCAACAAGGTTGAAATGTAAAAATAAATAATAATAATTCGAAAATTATTGGTCCTGCGACCGCCAGGCCTGCCGGACCGATTCCTACGCCCATGGGTGACACCGTGGTATTTGAGGAGATGCTTGTTCTCGTGTCGGCACTTGGACACCATTTCTGAGCGCTTGTTGAGGCTGGATGGTGAACCTAGCGTGTTCAGGATGGGGTACTTGTCTCTGGTACGGAGGGAACACCGCTTTGTGATGTTGGAGGACAGTCGGGCGCGATCTTTTATCCTCCATTGAACTTCGTACTGGGCGATAGATTTCTTCAGGTTCCAGATGTAGTTGGAGCACCTCTAGCCCTGAAACCTATAGAGCCCCCCCCCCCCCCACACACACACACGCACACACACATTCTCACACAGCTTTTCATACAGCGCTACAAGACCCAGCCTCTCCTGGCATATATACCGGCATGGTCGGCACCCCATCCTCATGTTGCCTGATGATTGCAAGAGCATGAAACTTGAAGTAGCAGCACACAAGCCTTGATTGTCCTTGTTGTTCTGTATTACGCTCTGTCTCCGCGGTGTTGAGCACTGTCAGCACAGTGGGTACATCCTCCGGTAAACATCTTGTACAAAGCCCCCCCCCCCCACACACACATGTCCACACACGCACAGCACCATGCAATACAGACGACTCACCTGCAGCCGAGTCATCCAGTGGAAAGACATACTTGGCTTCGATCGGCTTGTCTCCTTCATTGTAGTACTCTTGCATAACTACAACCTAACAATGACACCATACCGACAACATTGGAACAGGAACAATAGGCAACATACACCAAATATCGTTTGCCACGTGATGTGAACGTCTGCCATTGCCGACCCCATGGCTGGAGTAACTGTTGCACACTCTTGGGTGGTTATGTACTCTTGCCAATGTCTATAATTATGATCTAGTCACACTGGCTGACAGTTGATCAAACCCAATGTCAAATTGCCCTTTCTCCTCGGCTCTATATTTAATATTGGCTCAGTATCCGAGTTGAGAATATGGTCAGCATAACTACAGTGCTACTCGATGAAATCCAGTCGCGTGAGGCAAGTTTGCGCCTTGTATTATCTCGCAGGCCAGTGTTAACATGTCCAGGGCTGTGCAACGCTCGGTGTGTGCACTTGAGTGACGCGACTGGATTTCATTGAGGAGCACCGTACATACCTCAGCGGCCAGATCCAGTAGCTTGGCGCGGACGTGTACGGAGCGCAGTGGTACGGACACTCCACCCGCGCGCAGTCCCGCGTCGACTTTGGCGAGTGGATCCGGCACGTCCAGCACTTCCATCAGACTGACAGCTGAGCAGTAGACAAAGGACACCCATACACCGCCAGGACAGGACTATTCAAATACAGTGGAACGCGGATCAGACATAGCAGGGGCGTCAGACACGGTGCGGTCACTGCGGTATTGACCGCACCACTCTTTGCACCGAGTACCCCGTGAATCAATAACATGCACTAATTTGGGTTCGAATTTCGACAGTTTTCAGCTCAGCTACCCCTCCCTCACGCCTAAATGGCTGTCCGCAGCCAACCCTGCACTAGTTATGGCTAACCCAGGTTTTACTGTGGTAACATACAGCAGTACATCGATATCACTACACCGCCGCAGCAGCACCTAACTGACCTTCGCTAGTGTTGCCATCCACAGCCTTCACCATGGACATGGCATCCAGCTCATCACACAGTGAAGTCACCGCTGGTGTTTCGCCCGGCAGTGTAAACTCCACCAGGTACCTGATCACACGCACACCAACATAAGAACATGCACACACAAACGCACCCACAAATGGACGTACAAACACAAGTACACACACGCACGTGCACACGCGCACATGTACACACACACACACACAAATCCACACGCACACGCACACACACACACACACACACACACACACACACACACACACACACACACACACACACACACACACAGAGTCATGCTCATCATGCAACAGCCCCCAACAACACATCAGGATAGCCTAAAACTTCCGAGTAACATCTCCTCAACACGTTTACCCGTGATCACAAAACCTCTTCAGTCCAAGTGCACATCACAATGCACATTGTGATACTGTAAGTCTAAAAAATGTCAGCGCGTTTAAATTTCGGCCTCCCAGGGCTAACACACACTTCGGCCGCATTAAAATGGCTCTCTGTACTGCTGCCACCTGTATGCACTGTCACACTGAAACTTGCAAAACAAAATTTCGTCCACAATAAATGTTAGGCCAAAAGTGCCCAGGCCGAAAATAACCGAAAATAGATTAAATTAATTTATTTTCGACAGACAGTAATCAATATGACCCGAACATATGTTGACTTACAATATTGCTGTGGATCTGCTTACCTCAGACACTGCTGGTTACAATTGAAGATGCAGTACTCTTCGGCTTGGAACTCTGACGGTTCGTCCTTGAACGGTGGAACAGCGTGAATGCTATCGTGGCCATCCGGTGGTGCAGTACAGCCAATCATCTTTGATGTAGTGTCCTACATGGGCAGTGCAGCACACACATGCATAGGGGAAGAGGGGGCAGGGCGTCTGACTGTAAGAATACAAGTTTTCAGCGCGTTGAAATTTCAGCCTCTGAGGGCTAAAACACATTTTCGGTCGCATGAAAATCTTCAGCCTCTACTGCTGCTGTCTGTATGTAATGTCATACTGAATTTGCGAACCAAAATTTCAGCCGCAACCAATTTCAGGTCTCCAACCGAAAATAACCGAAAATGGATATGCGCCGAACGTTAATTTTGCTGATTTAGAGCAATCAATAGAAGTGTGTAAACGCACAGCCCAATCTTTATCAACACTTCTACGCTCTACGTTCTACCACACAAAAGGAAGTGTAGCGCACACCGTCACTCCACTCTGCGCTCTTCGCCCCTTCGCCACCCCAGTCCCCCTTGCACAGGACAGCCATTGCAGCATGCAATGAGCATTCCATCGTAACTTCCTCTTTTCAAGAATCAACTTGCAAGGGCTCCCGTCTATGACTATAAACAATAGAGGTGTCTAAACTCACAGCCCAATCTTTATCATCACTTCTACCACACAAAAGGAGGTGCTACAGTGCTATTGGGTTTCGTAGTGCATAGAGATTCCCGCAGCATTGTCTCTCTCCGTACTGTCCCTGCCTCTTTCAACTGTGTTATATGCGCATGCTCGATGTAACTACATCAGTTCTTGTCTTGTCCCGCAATGGACTGCTGCGTGGCTTGCAGGCTGAATACAACAGGGTTTCAATTCAGAGCTTCACAAAAAGCGATACTCGGGCAACGGTGACAGCAATGACCCATTGTGATAAAGCTCTGCTCGGTCGGGTATTGAGCATTCTGTGAGCAGTACAACACCTCTACAGTGTACAGCATAGCCTAACAAGGGGACCACTCTGACAAGGCGACCACTCTAACATGGTGACCACTCTGACAAGGCAACCACCTGTCCCTAAGGACCACTACAACCAGGATCAACGGATGTCATGTCCAGTCAAATGACCCTGCATAAGAAGACAACCTGTTCACGCGGACCAAATTCGTTTAAAGTCTCTTGAGTGGTGGCAGGTGTCACTGTACATCAGCCACTTCTATTCAAGCCAGTTTGTGCTAACGCTAGCAACCATACTGCGTCACTTACAAAAGTTTGCCGTTGTGTGCAAGCAATCATATCGCATCACTTACAAAGGTTTTTCCTAGCATGACCTCAGCAACCAGCATGAGCCGTGTTCCTCGCTGGCTCGGTGCAGAGTAGTGCAGCGCACTGGTGCTGAAAATCATAGCCACAACAACAACAGTTCATGTACAGCAACCGTGCACGCACAATACTATAATCTGTTCTTGACTCCACCAATAGCATAATTGATATTGCTTGATACCGATACAGTTGGTATTGATTGCGGGTATGTGCGCTTGCACGCTGTTACTCAAAACCTGGATTCAAAACGAATTCAAGCAGTGTAGCTATGGCTGTGTTCCAACACAACCTTGATATTCATTATTTGGAGGGGAAATGAAAACGGGAAAAGTCTGAAGAAAACTTGACTGTCACCACCAGGACTCGGACCAGGGACCCTTGCTGAAGGCCAGCGATGCTCTAACCACTAAGCTATGGTGTAGCTGTCATCCCAGCAGAGACTGTTAATGTTCAACATTTTCTTCAGACTTCTAAATGCACGCTTCTTGTGAATCCACATAGGCGGTTTGTGAGTAAAACCTTGACACCAAACTCTCGTCTTCCAAAACTCACCTGGAATGCCGTGCAAAGTAGATACCGTTTCCCAGCAGACCCGAATCACTTCTGCTGCGGCCATGCTCCTCAACAACTACTTTGGGCAGCAACAGACCACTGCAAGAAACAAGACAACAAAACAGCACAAGGATCCAGGCTTGCAGCAAACACCGCATTTACCAGGGTTCAAGCTGCACTTTCTCACCCGGCTAATAGGGTCGAGATTGCCCCGTGCGGCCAGTTATATCAAAAACATTCATTTCGTACAAAATATACAAACTGGAAATTGACATCTTGTATACAGGGGGGGGGGGGGGGGGCAGCTTATACAGGGTGCAGCTTTGATACCACAAAGGTGGTACGGTCAGTCAGACCTCGCTTAACCGCACGCGTCCGTTTTCCACTAAAACATCCGGATAGGCGAGGGAACCGGATAATCGAACACACATGCTGTATGTATGCATGACATAAGCCATAAATCGGTAACCAACGATTTTCTTCCGGATGAAAGAGGACCGGATGAAAGAGGACCGGATGAAAGAGGACCGGATAAGCGAGGTCTAACTGTATTATACATCACCAGATAGCAAAGTACAGGTGGAATACACAGACGCCAATCTCGAGAAAATTGAGATTTGACGCTCAGTGTCATCCACATCTAAGGTCAAGGAGCACCTTCATGCAAAATAGAAATTTCACACTCAAATCCCAACTAAGGCACTTCTAAAATATTACTCAAACATGGACTTAGGGGTCGTCCATAAATATCGAACTTTTTTCACAAAACGAAATAATTTCATTATGGGGTGGGAGGGGGTAGACCAATTTTGTTTCAGAAAACATTGATTCAAGTACATGGCCGTTGTGTATGCATGTATGTCAACATTTTTTTACGTTCTGAGGGGGAGGGAGGGGTTGGGTCTAAACTAAAATGATTTGTTTCATGAAAAAAGTTCGATATTTACGGACGGCCCTTAGATACATAATTCACTCAAAATACATCCTTTCTTGGCCATTATCCGCAGAGCGCCAAAGTGGACACGTCTCATTGCACAATCATGCATGCAGCATCAATGTTTAGTCCAGAAACTGCTTGCTGGAAAAGGATAAAGATAAGCTCAGCGGCAGGCAGTGAAGCCAATCATGTGTGTAAGTGACCATTGCGTTCTGAGAGAAGACTACGTCTCGACAGACCATGTTCATTTCGATTGCGCGTTTCAGAAATTCTCCAGACAAGCACTTTCACAGCTTTCACAGTGCACATCATGATTCTGAAGTTCTTTCATTTTCTGGCCCTATCATACAGGTGATCTCACATACACGGTCTCCCACACTGAGTCGGAAAACAGAAGTCTGTGTGTCTCCTAGCATTGTACACATAGCACACGCAAGGGTACCCGTGTATTGTGTGTGACTGCCCCTCCGTATCCTCCCTCCACTACGATACAAATCTAGTGCTCCTTTCCGAAAGGCAACACATCCACAGATCTGAAATTGCGAACACTGGTCAACACCATGGGACTCGGATGTGCTCTTACCGTGACAGAATTCCAACAAAGTTCGAAGGCTGTACAAACCAACACAATGTGTAAAAGAAACAACCAGTGAAGTTTCAAGTCACACATGTACACACAAAAACACACACGCACGCACACATGCACACAAACACACATACACACACACACGCACACACGCGCACACACAAACACACACACACACACGCACACACACATATACACACACACACACACACAAATGCACAAATACAAACAAACACACACACACAACCGCACACGTGCGAAGCAACCCTGCCCCGACACACATTGGACTTGCATCATAGTCACTGAATCCATGTTCCCAGATTACGTAAAGCGGACTCTGCAGGAATGTTGCAGAAAGTGGCTACACTGACTACACATGAGCTAAGCACCTGCACATGGTTAACAGAGTCCAAACTTTGAAGTTCCCTTGCAGGGGAGTAGCAGCCACTCCGGCCGGTCCAGCTCCAGCCGGACCACTTTTGCCAAAAGTGCCCAGAATCGAGGATTTTGTACCCTAATTTCAATTTGTTTCACAGGGGACACCCCCGGACTCTCTTCCGGCTGGACCACCTCCAACGGTTGTGCTACTCGCCTGCCTTGAGCGGTAATCTTAGATAGGTTTCACTGTACCTTAGATGCGTGGAACAGAAGAGATGTTTGCCCGGGGACTCCACAGAACGCTGCCTCCTCCGCCGGCCGCGTTACTCTGAAAACATTGTGAACGCTGAGAGGCTTGTCACTGCAGATGGTGGTAAAGCAAAGAGCAATCAAACGTACATGTACGCGTAACAGTTAAATCAACCACAGCAGGTGCAACTGAACCACAGTCACAGAGCGGTACTACTGTAAAACCGGAAAGTTTAACGATCAAAACGTTTAACGTTTTGAAATTTTTGCATGACAACGTGCAGAAAGTTTAACAATGGCTACCTGGCCACCCATCTGTATGCACATTTTTACACAGACATCTCAAACCGGATTCGCGATAACGTTTCTTCAAATAACGATAAAAATTGGTGGTTAAAACACTAAACTTTTGTGACTCGTTGGACTTTCCAGTTTTACAGTATTCATTGTTTACGTCGTGTTCCCATCAAGGTAGGGTGAAAACTGATGCCAAACACATCACCGTAGCTACCCATGCAGTCCTGCCGGTCCAACCACACACAAATTCACTCGACCGCACTGACACACACTGACACACACACACACCAACACACACACGCACATGCACACACACTGACATCCTCCCCCCCCCACACACGCACCTCCCCCACCTCCCCCCCCCCCCCCACACCCACACCGACACACACCCACACCCACACCCACCTGCCCATCCTTACCTGACCGTTGTACCGTTAACAAGCGTGTGCACTCGCTGCAGTTCGTCCCCATTCACAGCCACATTACCACCCATGTGCTCCAGCCTGCAGTGCAGGGCGCTCAGCTTAGCAACAGCAGCAGGTGAGCGTTGCCAATGAGTTGCTTCACTCACCAACACCATGTCTCGGATTAACTGCAGCAACAAGACAAGACAACCACAGGAAGAAGAACTGATATACTGTACACCGCCCAGAATTCGCGCCACTACGTTTTGGCGATTTCTCGCCACCAACCAGTTTGCTCACAGCTATAAAAAGTGCTATTGCAGCAGATGTCACCACTCAACATGACAACTTGTAAAAGGTTTAGGTGATCTTATTCCTAGAGTGGATTTTCTAGTTATACACACACACACACACACACACACACACACACACACACACACACACACGCACGCACGCACACACACACACACACACACACACACATACACACACACACACACACACACACACACACACACACACATATACACACACACACACACACACTCTCACTCACACACACACACACACACACACACACACACACACACACACACACACACACACACACACACATTGGCTCACCTGGCAACGGTCGTGCATACGGCTAACAGAGGCCATGCTGCTTATGGTTTGCTTTGAAGTATGAGGCAGAGATTCGTAAAACTGGGCAGACAGCTCGTCGAGCTCCACCGTGGCTCCGGCCTTGATTGCCTTGGTAATACTCAACAACACTGACTCTGCCTTGTCGATCTAGAGGGATCAGTGAATAACACAGAATGGTTGACAGCATCATACAGTAGAACTTGTCAAGGCGACCACTCTGATAACAGGGAGATAGCAGCCGGTCCAGCCGGTCCGGCTTTGGGGACCACTTTTAAACACATTGCAAAAAGTGCCCAGAATGCAGGATTTTGCAACCAAATTTTTAATTTCCCGGGGGACACCCCCCCCCCTCCCATCCCCAACGGCGGTGCTACGCGCCTGGATAAGGTGACCACTTGCCCAACAGGACCATTGCAACCTGGACCAAGATATGCTATTTCCAGTGAAAAAGACCCTGCACAAGGAGACCACCTTCACACAGTGACCAGATTTGTAAGGTGCCTTGAGCGGTCGGCTTAGGCAGGTTTCACTGTATTTAGAGGGTCAGTGAATAACACAAGAAGCAGCATTCCCTATTGGAATTGATGGCATCATCATACTTCAAAATCGCCCGTGCTCGGGAAGTTGCAAGTTTATACTTAGAATTGTGGCATAGAAAGGTCGGTCTTGCCGACTCGTACACAATAAAAAATAAAAATAAATAGAATAAAAAATGGAACTATCGCTTGTATGGTACTGGCCTGAGACTTCGAACCTCATGAAGGACTCATCCATAGCATTACATGCACTGTTCTGTGCACTCGAACGCGGCGCTACTATTATTCATGAGGTTGAATTCCTGGAACTGGACATCAAGAGCTGGAATGAAAACCCCGCCATATCCATCGAATCAATTTTCCGATTATGGCCAAAAAAGAATTCATTTCATGTGTGTGGTCTGTAGCTAAATCTATGTTTGGGTTCCAGTTTTGAAATGGTCCTCGTCAGATTTAGAATGTGAAAATGTTCAAATGTTGCCTGGTGGCGGGTTTTTGCATCTCAGCTATTCACATAACATACTAACAATGTCCATACACACCGCTCTCCTCCATTCATAATGCCTATCTGCCTGTGCACTTTCATTTCTCTTTCTTTCTTCCTTTTTCACATGTTTAGAATATGGACAATCCACCAGCACATGTAGCAGAGATCAAAAGAGACAGAAGCGGAAAAGGTTAGCATTGCATTGCTGCCCTGTACGCGAACTGTTCTATCATTGTATTATTCACATGAACAGTGGACTTGCATGGATGTGGCTAATGGGGTTTCATGGCTGTGAGACTTATCCCCTCACCCCCACCATTAGGCGCTGCATCTGCAGCTAGGGTTTACCGGGTGTTAGCGGCCGTCGCGAGTTCCCTTCGGGAACGGACACGATGATCTACTTCTTACTGTAGTGGACTCTTACCTGTTGTGAGGTGATAGACTGAAGTGACTGGGAGTCAGCCAGGACGTCCAAACCGGCCAACGCCTCGTCCCACACACAGCTGAGCAACGACGAGACCTCTGCAGATACGCCCGTGTTACTGCTTAATGTCAGCGACAACTCTGCATGGCGCTGCACAACACAAGAGAACACAAGCAAAGCCAAGGAAGGTGAGACTGGCCTCCTCGTGCGCGCCGGATGGCAGTCACGAGTCAATCAAGTGCGCAAGTTTGGCAGGAAGCGTGTGTTCAGCGTAGAAACGACCAACTCCGTTTAATACTACCGCCAAATTCGCTACTTCAAAGCAAAGAAACAACGAAGCTCTCCAAGCATGTTTTGTTTTGTAAATTCTCCCCTGCTATATGGATATCAATCCCATGCTAAATTACCTTGCATTCTGCAAATGTACAGTAGAGGTCAAGAAACCAGACTTCAGACTGCACATGCATTGCTGCTTGGAAGCATATTTCCGAAATGTTTTTCAAGTGTCCGTGTTGTCGCAAATTTTGAGCACACCCGTGCGCTATGGTGTCCAGTCTTCTTCTACTGGTCTTGGCAATGATGTCGTGTTTGCCGTCATGTTGTAGACAGCTCTTCCTTCCACCGCTTGCACTACAGTACATCTAGTGCACTCGTGCCTCGCTTATCGGAACGGTCCGGGACCAGGCACTGCCCGTAACTTCGAAATGTCCCTAACTCCGAATCACATGCATTTTGATGGGGAAGGCCAGAGACATGGCATATGACGTCACTATTTTCACAAAAAAAGTGACAAAAGAGTAGTAATATTTCCGCTGAAACTCGCCCAAAGGGTGCCCGGTAGACCAAAGTGCCCGTAACTTCGGGGTCCGGATAACCGAGGTACGGGTGTGATTGGTGGACGATCAGCGCAGAACTGCAGCTGAATCTTATCTGCTAATACACACACCTGTCTTGCACGAACAGATCCGATGTGCGCGTGCACGGGTTTGGCCGCTCTTGTCCAGCCTCTCTCCTTCGGATAGCGCTGTAGCAGAGCGACAACCACCGCCATTGCCTCCAAGCCACTGGTGACGAATCGACTCTCATCAACAACTCCTTCAATCTGAAAAATGTGTGCACAAGTACAGACATGCAGAAATATAGCACTTCCAAGAACACATACATGTACTGCAATGAAATAGACAAGCAGACAAATGGATGGACAGACAGACGGGCAGAAAACACACACACACACACACACACACACACACACACATACACACACACACACACACACACACACACACACACATGCATACATGCTCAAAGAAACACAAAATGTCCACACGACACAAACACATCCTACCATTCACTAACTCTACACGCAGCAGCTACGAGCATACATTTCACTCGCAGGCAACACCGATGCTCCACTACAGAACGGATCCAGCCATTCGAAGACCGCAGTGAAAATATCATAGAAACTATGTTTGTGTACGATGTCAGCATGATGTCATTGTGGTAAGAATCACACACTGATAAATTATCACACTGATGTCATCAGTGTGTGATTCTGGCAAAATGGGTGCATACAAGAACTTTCGGGTTCTCTGAGGATCTAAAAACACAGCCCAAGTACCCATTTTGTTCAACAGAATGATGTGTACACAATTTGTACACACATTGCACAGACTTTATCATTGCGCACTGACGCGGTGCGGAGACTTATCATAAGCTGCCAGTTTACCTTGTTCGCTGCGTCGCAGCGCCCACGCTGGCTGAACACACGGTAGCAGACCTTGGTGGCGCAGTGCACTTCCAGCTGAATGAAAGAATAGGAATTGTTCTTCTCCATTTTCTGACAGCAGGGGAAAACAAGCAGCAAAGTCACACACTTTATTCACAGCAAAGGTTACGTTAAATGAGAAACTTTTGCTAGAGATTAAACTTCGCTATATTTGCGATGATCCCACATTTGACAATATAATCGCCGCAAACTGCTCTTTACATCCAACTGAAGAAATAAAATCCCGCAATTTTCTCATCATGAACCAGCGCAACATTTGCACGCAGTAAACGTTTGCCACTTTACAGTTCATAAGACGATGTCACACCAATCCAGCATTCATCTGTTCAACCGGGAATCACACACCCACGCACGCGCAAACACATGCATGCATGCATGCGAGCGCACTCACACCCACACTCACATACATACCCCCCACCCCGGTCCTCCATTTTTACCACCATGGCAACAGCCAGCCAAATACATTAAAACCTGGTTTAAGCGACCGCCCCATTTTTTGCCACGAAATACAGACATCTACCCTTTTTAGCACCATTAATTTGATCATCGGAGTTGCCGCACCCCCCCCCCCTTTTTGGGTGAATTTTGAGTGTTCAAACTTCAACGTGCGGCTTATACTCCGAAAAATACCGTAAATGATTGTCTCCGGTCCAAAGGGAACTCAGGGTGGCAGCTAACACCAGGTAAACGCACCTGGAGTAAGACCAGCTTGATAAGCTCATAGCTGTCCGGAAACTCAGGCATAGACGAATCTTGCCCGGTGTATACCCTGCCAGAACACAAGAACACACACACACACACACATACACACAGGCACGCACACATACACATACACTCTCACACACACACACACACACACACACACACACACACACACGCATGCACATGCACACACACACACACACACACACACACACACACACACCAACACACACGTGTGTATGACGCAACAAGCATCTTGCTCAACACCATGCCAGACACAAGGTCACTATGTACGGCGACTTGACTCACACAATTCAGCATACGAGTCATGTCGTACGGAGTCGTCACAGTATCCCCAGCTAACACTGGTAGCCACCACGGTGACTCCCAACCTCCATTGTGATACCTGAGTACCTGTCAGCTGTTGGTTGGGAAGCCCATTTGTCCATTGCCAAATATGGAATGCATGAGCAATGCCTCTGCGTGGGCGCTGGAATAAGACATACACTGTTGAGCATCCAGCACAACTTTGCCCCGTGTAGCTGTGTGAGGTGGTGGTGGTGGTGGTGGTATTATCAACGCCAGTGGCAAGTGTGGAGAATGTATCCTTGCAACCGGTAGTAGGGTGTGTGTGGAGGGGTTGCCAATGCTTGCCTAGTACACCCACCTGAGTGAGTTGAGATTGAACGACTGCGACTTGGCCTTGCTTACAGTTTCAACTGTGGACACTGAACAAATGACAATAATGACAAACAAAAGTCAGGCATGAGAGAGAGAGAGAGAGAGAGAGAGAGAGGGGGGGGGGAGAGGAGAAGAGATATATGACGCATCCTTTGCGGACGAGTCCGAAACACTTCCGAACTTCCAATCTGGCCAATTCACTCTCCAATGAGGTATTGCCTCGGTGACTTTGCTTGTGTGCAAAATGGAAAGAGGTAGCCCATAGTAAGTTCTGATCGCAGGGACAGCAGGTCTTTGAGACCTGCTGTTTCACAGAGATCGACGTATTGAGGGTGGTGCTCATCCCCTCTCCCCCGTTGCTTTCACCTCTCCAACCAATGTAAGGTTCCCAATCCCTTACAGGTTTCTGGGGTTTTGCAAATACCTTCCGATCAAACTGGGAATCAAACCCCAAACCCCATGTTTGGTAACTTGCTAAGCCACACAGGTACCCATATTGTCGCTTGTGTAGCTGTTGATAAGCAGGGCAGGTTGGCGCACAGAGATGAGCTTTGTTTTAAATTATAATCCATTCAATCCAGTCATGTATAATGGAGTGTATATGTGTGTGTGTGTGTGTGTGTGTGTGTGTGTGTGTGTGTGTGTGTGTGTGTGTGTGTGTGTGTGTGTGTGTGTACACACGCGCACGTGCGCACACGCAAACATACACACACACACTCACATACATGCACACACACACACACACACACACACACACACACCTCTCCTGTCCTGTAGAGCCACTACCACTAGGGTCACGTGGGCCCCGGAGGGGCAGCAGAGAGAGAGAAAGAGCACGCCACCCGATGGCGCTCCAGATGCGAGACTAGTCGGAACCGGCGAGAGCAGATACACATATGCGGGAACTTGTCCCGTTCTCTGGCCGTTGGTCGGTGGCAGTGCGTTGAACAGCGATGGCGGTTGCGTCCCTGGGTTGAGCGGAAACAACGATTGCAGGTGCCACAGTGAGCATTGCAGCAACTCCGAGCGGTAGTGTCACCGGTGACAACAGCAGCTGGTTCGATCGGTACTGGGCACGAGGTAGAAGCGGAGCAACGATGCACAGCCAAGCCTCCGCGGCTCCGGAACCAGCGATGACACCGAGGGCACTGACATGCACCTCTCTGCTCCGAAACCGGCTTCTGCCGTTCAGCCGTGCACTTGTGCCTAGCGAGGTCACCCTGACGTGCGAAGTGCCGGGCGCATGTGAAACAAGTCACCGGTGCCGGTACGAGGGGATCCGGGGCGTCCGAGGTGTAAGCCAACCTCCAGTCTGGGCGAGAGTCACAGGCCACTCTGTACCAGTCCGCTTCAAGGTCTCGTGAGCGGAGGTCCTTTACAGCGCAGTCTTTCCACCGCCGACGTGGGCCATGGGCCGGGCGACGAGATGGCAGGGTGCCGAACAGCAACTGTTTGGGCAACCGCACATCGTCCATGCGGGCGACATGGCCTAGCCACTCGAGGCGCCGATGCTGAACCTTGGTGACGATGGTTTCAGAGTCACCCCACCACTCAAGCAGCTGGCTGTTGGATATGTGGTCATCCCAGCAACGATGGCGTGTGATGCCCAATATCGACCGCACGCATCGCATGTGGAAAACAGACATGCGACGGAGGTCCTGCTTCAGCGGCGTCCAGCACTCGGACCCATACAGGAGCAGAGACAGGACACAAGCATTAAACACACAGCGTTTAATATGAAGATCTAAGTTCTTGTTCCTGAAAACAGATTGCTGCAGAGCACCACAAGCCCGGGACGCACTTGCCACCCGAGCGCTGATATCCTGCGAAGATCGGCCGCCACAGTGGATGATACACCCCAGGTACTTGAACTCCGGCACACACTCAATGTCCACACCGGCAAGCTGTATGGGCGCCTGGTCCGCAGCCGTGACGCCAGCTCCCGCAACCAAGAACTTGGTTTTGGTCGCGCTCACGGTGAGGCCGAATTCCGAAGCGGTCGAGTTGAACAGGTCCAAGGCAATCTCAGCACCAGCACGCGATGTTGCAAACAGGGATGAATCGTCCGCGAACTGTGCCTCTTGGGCGGTGGCAGCGGTGTCAGCCCGGCGTGCCTTGCGATATAGTTGACCCTCACCATTGTGGTAGCTGAACTCGAAACCAACGCCAGGAATACCTCTGACCCTCTGTTGCCACTTGGTGACTACTGCCCACATGAAGATGTTGAAGAGGACAGGAGCCATAGTGCAGCCTTGCCGCAAGCCGTTGGTGACGCTAAACGGATCCACGTCTGTGCCACTCACGCGCAATACTGCAGACATCTCATGGTGGAAAGACCGGATTACTGCAAGCATGGGGGGAGGGACACCAGCACGGGAGAGCACCTGCCAGAGGCACTCACGGGGCACGGAGTCGTAGGCCTTCTTCAGGTCAATGAAGACGAAGAAACCCTTGGCTGTATGCTCGATGGTCTTCTCGAGTAGTTGACGTACGCTGAACACCATGTCCGTGCAGGATCTACCTCGCCGAAAGCTGCATTGTGATTCCGGGAGGAAGCTGCTGGCCAGGCCCTGGAGTCTCGTCTGAATGAGATTCGCCAGGACCTTGCCGACAACATCGAGCAGCGCGATGCCACGCCAGTTGTCACATCGGGTCAGGTCCCCTTTCTTCGGAATTGGCACCGGGGTAGCGTCTACCCACTCCTGCGGCACTTGGCCGGCACGCCACACATCTCCGAATAGCTCCACAAGCTTGTTGTTCAGCGACTCACCCCCTGCCTTTACCATCTCCGGCA